AAAGTAAAAGCGGTTTTAATACTTGTAAAAATACACATAGGTTTTAAAACATGTAATTAATAAGATAATAGGCCAATTAGTAGCAGATTAAGCGATCGTGCTAGAACCACAGAACCTGGGAATGCCTAAAACCTTCTCCCGGGTTAAAAGAATTCCTTATCTAGAATTTCCGATTTCGCGGACTTTTAAATAAAGTCAAAATTATCCTTGATTTGGGATTTAAAATAAAACGGTGACTTGGCACACCAAATAAAATATTCCAAGTGGCGACTCTGATAAAAATAAAATAATCCCATTTCAAATAATATCACTTAAATTGGAAAAACTCCCTTCTATCCCCCTGCGAGTGGTAAAAAGGAGGTGTGACAGCTCTCGCGACTCTGCTGGGGATCAAAACATAGAGCTTTTAGTTCAGGGTTCAAGAATTCAAGCTAAGAATAACTGTTATACTTGGCTTTATTTATTATCTGATTTTTACATGTTTGAACCTAATGTGCTAAATGCCGTTTTTTACCGCTTTGAAATTGTTGAACTGTATATAAATTGTTACGAAACCCTCTCCTCTCTGAGTCTTCTAAATCATCTGGGAAGTGTGCACTTCGTGTAACTTCTTTTCTGTTAGAGTTATATCCCAATTTTAGAACGAGGTTCGAACAAGTTGCAAAGCCGGTGAAGCTTCTGTATTCCCGGTACGCTGCCCCCCTCGGCTCGAGCTGTCCTCTTGGGTAAGCCAGGTCTAGAACAATACACCCATATTTTTAAACCTAGTATAACATAGCCTCATGCCAGATCCCTAGTAGGAACGCTTGTTTGCATCACGTGCATTTGACTTTGGGGACTCAACACAGGGGTTTGGTCCGTCTAGGATAGGTGTAGCCGAAATTAAAAAGACCATCCTGATGCATTCTACTTGCTACTTGTACATTTATTTGCTTCGGATTGCATGTTGACCGTCTTCTAGAATATGGGAGAAAATATGGAAAAAATCAAATTGAGGTGTGAGAGAGATAATTACCCGTCCTCAGAAAATCTGGTGTCCAAAAAGTACCGAAACTTTGCCGAAATTTTGAAAAAAACAAGAAAAAAAAAGAAAAAAGAAATTTGTTTAAAAAAAAGGATATTTGGTGTTGTTTTCTATTATGTCAAAACTGCCCGAACTACGCATGTTTGATTCTTACCGGATGTGGGATACGTAGGCAACCCTCACCGGTCCAACTCCATGTTTGCAGACATAACCCAAAAATATTAAATGATGTTGTTTTGTCATAAATAAATTAGGTAATGCCGTTCTTGTCTAAATAGCCAAAATGTCCCCAAAAGGGCACCGGAAGGCTGGTTTTGCAAGAATAGCCACCTATGGTCCTTTTTCAAATTTTGGCCGATTAGCAAACACAACCCTAAAATCTTTTCTCCTGAGGTGTTGAAGGGCTGTATTTGCAAAGGCATTTTTTTTTTGAATTGCAATTTTGAAAAATTGATAATTTTCTCTTGAGTCAAAATAAATCATGGTCTCTTAACCGATCACTTTAAATAAATGTGCAGGATGAGCACTATTGAAAATGAACCCTTCACAGTCCTAGAGGAAATCCCGTTAGAACTCCATATGTGGTGGAATGACTTAGGGAAAGTCAGTAGAGATACTGTGATAAAAGCTTTGGGCGGTCTCGTTGGACTTTTGAAAATTAAACTGAGGTTGGAAATAATTGCGGCTTTAATACCTTTTTGGGACCCGACGCATACTGTGTTCCATTTTTCTTATTTTGAGCTAACCCATACGCTTGAGGAAATAGCGAGCTATGCCGGTCTTAGTGGGAATCTCAAAAGTCAGTACCCAATGGCACCAAGATTGGTTACTCCTCATAAGTTTCTGGACCTTTTGAGTATCAGTCGGGAAGTTAAATATGGAAATCTAGCCGATGGATTTTGCACATTCTAGTTCTTGTACCGACGTTATGGGAATCCCCATGGTTTTGACGCTTCAGATACTGGTCTAACTCATTCAGGGAACAAAGATAAATGGGAAGCACGTCGAGGACTGGTTTTTATAGTGGAATTCCTGGGTATCTTAATTTGGCCCAGAAAGGATGGAAATATAGAGTTAGGGCTCGTGGGAATGGCTGACTTCATTACTAAAAAGGCTAATGGCACCATTGTACCAATGATCCTAGCAGAGATTTATTGAGCTCTAACTGTGCGCCGAGAAGGGGAAATTTTTTTTGAGGGTTGCAACATGCTTCTACAACTTTGGACGGAAGAACACCTTTGCCATCGTCCAGGGTACATGAACTATGGTATGACCGGTCTTAACTGCATTGAACAACATGAAAACCGGGTGATGGGTCATGAGTTTCTAGAAGGTACGGAGGCATGGTTCGCACATTTGAGTTCCTTAACTTCAAGCAAAATTGAGTGGACATTCGGTTGGCTTCCGGTCACTGAAGTCATTTACATGTCGGCCGAGGTGTGTTTTCTTCTATTAATGGGTCTCCGGAGCATTCAGCGATATGCTCCACACAGGGTTCTGCGCTAGCTAGGCAGGTACCAACTACCCAATGATGAAGATCTGAGTCGACAGGTCATCGAACTAGGACCAAAAGCTGTATTCCTGGAAGAAAAGGTGCGCCAAAGTTGGCATCAGTGTAGGTTCCTGGAGCCAAAGACTCGAGTACGAGATCAGTCCAAAGGCGAGTTAGAGCCTAATTACGTGACCTGGTATGGTAAAAGGTCTCAAGTCCATCGAGAGCCCGAGCAGCCTGCCAAAACACCCCATGTCCAACAATTCACTGATGGGGCACAGGAGCAATGGTATTGGTTAGCAAAAGAGACAAGCTACAGAGCCACAATAAGCAAATTGGAGGGGCAGATCCGAGATCTTAAATTTGACAATAGTGTACAGGCTGTTGCTGATGAAGGGGAGAAGAAGAAGTTGTCTCAAGAAAACAAAGCCCTTCGAGCCTAGATCCAAAAAATGAAGATAGCTGTTGAGAATCAGGAAAGGAGCCGAATAGACGAAAGACTCATAAATGGTCTTAGGAGGAAAATATCTGAGTACAAGGATACAACAACAACGACAACAACCCAGTGCGGTCTCACAAGTGGGGTCTGGGGAGGGTAGGATGTACGCAGCCTTACCCCTACCCTGGAAGGGCAGAGAGACTGTTTCCGATAGACCCTCGGCTAAAGAAGGTGAGAGAAGTCCTGGTAGCAAGTAATAGCAAAACAATAATTAGAAAAATAAATCGGAGATAGCAACAGATAATATGAAAAGGGTACTGATAATAAGTAGCAGCAAGATAACATATTTAGAAAACTAATTCCAAGGCAGCAAACTACGAAATTACCAATGGCAAGTAACAACGAAACGAGACATGCGAATATAGAAAACTAAGGAGAAAAAGGGTACCGAACTAGCGCTAATACTATCGAGCTAGAGAAGATAAAGGGAGATGCACGACTACCTACTAACCTTCTACCCTAATCTTCAACCTCCACACCCTTCTATCTAGAGTCATGTCCTCGGTTAGCTCAAGTAGCATCATGTCCCACCTGATCACCTCTCCCCAAGACTTCTTTGGCCTACCTTTACCCCTCCTCACACCTCCTAAGGCCAACCCCTCACATCTCCTGACAGGGGCATCTGCGCTTCTCCTCTTAACATGCTCGAACCACCTCAACCTTGCCTCACGCATCATTGCCTCCACAGGGGCCACTCCCACCTTGTCTCGAATAACTTCATTCCTAATTCTATCCAACCTAGTATGCCTACACATCCATCTCAAGATCCTCATTTCCGCTACCCCCATCTGCTGGACATGAGAGGTTTTGACTGGCCAATACTCCGCCCCATATAACATAGTCGGTCTAACAACTACCTTGTAGAACTTACCCTTAAGTCTCTACGGCACATTCTTATCACACAAGACACCAGAAGCGAGCCTCCACTTCATCCACCCTGCTCCGATATGGTATGTGACATCCTGATCTATCTCCCCATCCTTCTGGATTATAGATCCCAAATACTTGAAACTCTCTCTCTCTCCTGGAAATGACTTGCATATCGAGTTTCACATCCCCGTCTGCCTCCTGGATAACACCGCTGAACTTGCACTCGAAGTATTCTGTCTTGGTCCTGCTCAACTTAAAATCCTTAGACTCCAGGGTACGTCTCCAGACCTCCATCCTCTCGTTAACGCCACCTCGCGTCTCATCAATCAGGACTATGTCATCCGCAAATAGCAAGCACCAAGGCACCCCCCCTGAATGTGACGTGTCAAAGAATCCAACGCCAAGGAAAACAAAAATGGGCTAAGTGCTGATCCCCGATGCAACCCTATCTCTACCGGAAAGAAATCCGAGTCTCCACCTGCTGTCCTAACCCGTGTCTTTACTCCATCATACATGTTCTGAATCACTCTAATATACACTACAGGCACTCCTCTAGCCTCCAAACATCTCCATAGAACCTCTCGGGGGACTTTGTCATAGGCCTTCTCCAGGTCAATGAACACCATGTGCAAATCCTTCTTCACCTCCCTATACTGCTCCACCAATCTCCTCACAATATGAATGGCCTTAGTGGTCGACCGTCCTGGCATGAAACCAAACTAGTTCTCGGAAATGGACACACACCTCCTCAGCCTCCCTTCAATCACCCTCTCCCAGGCTTTCATCGTATGGCTTAACAACTTGATACCCCTATAGTTGTTGCAGTTTTGAACATCCCCCTTATTCTTGTTCAGTGGGATCATCGTGCTCTGCCTCCATTCTTCGGGCATCTTCTTCGTCCTAAAAATGATGTTAAACAACCCAGCAAGCCATTCCAAGACCTCCTTACCCACGCTCTTCCAGAATTCTACCGGGATCTCGTCCGGCCACGTCGCTCTACCCCTACTCATCCTGCACATAGCCCCTACAACCTCCCCCACTCGAATACGTCTACAGTACCCAAAATCTCGTTGCCGCTCTAAGTGCTCCAACTGCCCCAGCACAATGCCCCTATCTCACTCTTCATTCAAGAGCCTATGAAAGTAAGCCTGCCATCTCTGCCTGATCTGAGCCCCCTCCAATAAAACTCTTCCCTCCTCATCTTTTATGCATCTCACTTGGTCAAGATCCCGGGCCTTCCGCTCCCTCACCTTCGCCAGTCTGTACAACTTCCTGTCCCCGCCTTTATCCCCAATTTCTTCATATAGACGACTAAACGCAGCGGTCTTAGCCGCAGTAACCGCCAACTTCGCCTCCTTCCTGGCCTTCTTATACCCCTCCCTATTAGCACTCTTCTGCCCCTCATCAATACTCTCTACGAGCTTCAAATATGCCGCTTTCTTGGCTTCCATTTTCCTCTGAACCTCTTCGTTCCACCACCAGTCCCCTTTATGGCCACCAGAAAAACCCTTTGAGACCCCTAACACCTCTCTCGCCGCCTCTCTAATGCAATTTGCTGTCATAGACCACATACAACTCGCATCCCGGCTACTCCTCCAGGCCCCCATGGCCAGCAACTTCTCCCCCAACTCCAGGGCCTTGTCTTCAATCAATGCACCCTACCTGACCCTAGGCATACCAGACATAGACCTCTTCTTCCTCGTCCACCTGGTCTCTAAGACCATAATCAAAAGCAGATGATGGGTCCTATGATTCTCACTCGGGATGACCTTGCAATCCGTGCATAAACCTCTATCACATTTTTCGGAGAAGTAGATAATCAATCTGGGTCTTGGCCACCGCACTTCAAAAAGTTATCAGGTGCTCCGCCTTCTTCGGGTAATACGAGTTAGCGATCACCAGCTCAAAAGCTTTGGCGTACTCCAGCAGCGAAGTACTTCTACCATTTCTATCTCCGAAACCGAAGCCACCATGCACATCATCATATCCCCAAGGGGACCTCCCAATATGGCCGTTAAAATCACCCCCTATAATAAGCTTCTCGGTGGACGATAGACCAACCCATCCAAATCTTCCCCGAAGCGTCTTTTAACCTCATCTCCCAAACCCACCTGAGGCGCGTAAGCACTAACTACGTTCAGAGTATACCCTCTCACGACTATCTTAATGGCCATCAACCTGTCATTCACCCTCTTAACCTCAACCACTAGCTCCCTTAGATCCTTATCAACTAAAATGCCTACCCCGTTCTTCCCTCTCACCCTCCCTGAATATCACAACTTAAAACCATCCACCTCCCGAGCCCTGTTCCCCACCCATTTAGTCTCCTGGACACAAGCTATATTGATCTTCCTCTTATGGAGTATCCTTGCTAACTCTATAGACTTTCCCGTTAGAGTCCCCATGTTCCATGACCCCACTCTCAGCCTAGAAGGTGCCTTACCTCCCCTACCCCCCTGCCACCCTTACTCCCTACCCCCTGCTCCTCTCTCCCACCGAGGACATGCCCTCACTCTATCATAACTCGGCGCGGCCACCAGACCAGCACAAAGCTACAAAAGGATAGACTAGATAGGAATAAACTCAACAGAAACCTACCGGTACACAAGGTGCTAATAAGGTATCCGACTAAGCAGGGACCAACTATGTATCAGCTATAATACTAAGGAGAAAGACAGAGACCGATATAAGCAGACAAGTCTAACTAAATAAATTAAACAAGATACTATGGATGTCAAGGATACCGGCAAGCAAAAATGGAAAAATAAAAAAAAATAAACTAAATAGAAACCTATAGGTACACAAGGTACTAATAAGGGATCCAACTAAGCAGGGACCAACTATGTATCGGCTATAACACTAAGGGGAAGACAGAGATCGAATAAGCAGACAAGTCTAACTAAATATAGTTTAAACAAGATACTATGGATGTCAAGGGTACCGGCAAGCAAAAAAGAAAAAAAATAACAATTAAAAAATATAATAACAATAATACTAATAAAATAAAATACCAATATCAGTGATACCAGCTATAGAACGATAGAACCTGGAGCAAGTTTTCCTGAAGTTTATCAGAACTGGTAGTTCTGCTGTGTCCCGCCGGAAAGCTGAACGGGAGTCGCCAGAAGTAATGTAACTTGCCGCAAAAATATTGCACCTGTCCAAAAAAAAATCACCCACACACACAAGGCGGAAGAGAGAAAGGGAAAAAATAGAGAGCGAGGAAGAAGAAGACGGAGCAGGGGTCGCCGAAAAATGCAGAACGAGGAGAGTCGCCGGAAAAGAAGGGTCGCCGGACTTGATGCAACTCTCCTGCACACGCACGTCCCGACCCTGGCAGTGAGAGGGCCAGAAGCTACCGGAAAAGAAGATAAAGAAAAAAAAGGAGAGAGAAAGAGAAAGAGAGGGAGAGAGGGGGGACGAAAGAGAGAAGGGAACTTAGCTGTTCCCGCACCTGCGGCGGCGACGACAACGGTGAAGCGGCAAGATGCTGGAGTGGCAAGAGTTTGGGCACAAATGGCAAAGAACACAGAGGGACGGGCAGAGTGTGTCCGGCAATTTTAAAGGAAATACGAGGGAGAAGTCAAAAACTTGATTAATAAGCTGACTACCCTCGAGAATGAGATGGCCAAACAAGAAAAGAGCTTTAAGGCAGAAGGGTAACATTGTTATGCATTAATTTCTCAGCTAGAGGAAGATATGGAACAACTGCAGGGTCAAAGCCTTCATGTCAACCAAGTGCTATAAGCTAGGTCTCAACAAATCGGCCGTTTGCTCCAAGAGAAAGGCATCATCAGGGAAAGGGTTAGAGCAATTACTGACTACATCGTCATGAAATTCCATGAATGCGAAGACATGATTGAAACCACCTTTTTCTCCATAGTGATGACCTTTGTTCTCCAAATAATGAAGGACCTGGATCGTCTTCAAGGAGATCTTGCACATAGGCCCGTGGCGAGACCGACTGATGTCCCGCGGGCCCCTGGATCAGTCCTGGAAGCACTTATGTACTCTTGATTTTGATTTCGAGTTTGTATCTCCGTTTCTAGTTCTAGCGTCTGTTTCGAGACGGTTTTTAGTTTTTCAATTCCTAGAAAGGTATGATGAAGTCTTTGTAACTGAGAAAATTAGAAGTTTTTATCAATGAAAATTTTGGAAAAAACCAAAAAATATTGTTCCTTTATTTTATTTTTCATATTTATTCCTTGAACTACGTAATGATTTGATTCACGCGGCGTCATGATACATAGGCAATCCCAATCGGATCCGGTCATGGGTTTTAAATAATTTGAACAAAAGAAAGAGAGAAAACCTGAAAAAAGACAAGAAAGGAGTGAAAAACAAGAAAAGAGAGAAAACAAGAGAAAAAGAGATAAAACACGAATAAGAGAGAAAACATTGATGTAGTGCAAAAAAAAGAGCAAAAGCTGAAAAGCGCCGAAAGAAAAGAAAGATTGGGGAGATAAACAAAAGCCGGGACGAAACACGCAACCGCTGCAAAACATGTAGAAACACATTTAACTGTATAGGTGCATCACACCCCCAATGTGCGATTCCCTATGTGTTAGTTGTCTTAAACTAATCGGTTTGTTATGTTTGCGATTGAATAGGTTTTGTATTAAGGTGGTTGGTTTTGTGGTAACCTGGCTTCGCACCCTTACTTTACAAGATCCAAGGATAGCCCGATATCGGCCATCCCAACATCAGAGTTAGCGGCTGTTGAGGAAAATAGGGTACTGCGTCTCTGCATGTTGGAAATGTGGGATGCCTGGTCCAACAGTAGAGAGCCGCCGAGTGCAATACCTGGCTTCCTCGAGCTACTTCCCAGAGCAAGCGGGACTTCCAACATTCCAATGAATTACCCAAATACCCCACTCGGATATCTTACAATCTCAGCCCACTTTACCATAACGCCTTCTGAGGTTCGCCCTTAGGCATTGATTTCGGGAGTGGCCTCCAACATATTCACCGCACCACCATCCTCGGCCACGGACAACCCATTTTACCCAGGCCAAGCTTTGATCCATCGTCTTTTACATTCCAAGTACCATCCTTTCCACCAGACACTGCCCATTTTACCACCAATTCCTATCCTCAACAACCCCGATATGAGTTTACTGCGGGGCAAGGGAAAGCTGCCAATAACCCCGAGCAAGAGGAAATCACTCGGAAAATGAGGAGCATGGAACAGAGCCTCAAGAATATATAAGGCTTAAGTGGGCCAGAAGAGCGTGTCCTACGCTGATTTGTGAATGTTCCCACATGTTCACCTGCCCCTTGGTTTTATGACTCCCATGTTCGAAAAGTATGACGGGCACGGGGATCCCATAGCTATCGTCAGGAGGTATTGCAATCAACTGAGAGGGGCAAGTGGAAAGGAAGAGCTCCTAATGGCTTATTTCGAAGAGAGTCTAGTTGTCTTTGCGTGAGAGTGGTACATGGATCAAGACATATCTCGCTGGCACATAATGATTTGGCTCGAGATTTTGTCAGGCAGTTTCAGTACATCATAGACATAGCTCCGAAAAGAAATTCCCTGTCAAACCTCATAAAGAAGTACTCGGAGAGTTTCCGATAATATGCTGTTAAGTGGCACGAACAAACGGCCAGGGTGAAGCCCCCGATGGATGAGACGGAGATGGTCAGTGTTTTTCTACAAGCCCAAGAGGCTGACTACTTTCAAAATATGATGTCTGCAATAGGAAAGCCATTTGCTGAGGTTATCAAGATTGGGGAAATGGTCGAGAATGGTCTGAAAACAGGTCGTATATTGAGCCAATCTGCTATAAGAGCTACGTCCCAAGCAATCCAAAGCGGGTCAGGAGGTGTAGCAAACAAAAAGAAGAAAGAAGAAGTGGCAATGGCGGCTTCAAGTTTGAGAAACCCCCGTCAACCCAGAGGTTACTTCCCTCTAAATGCCCCGCAGCATTATTATCCTCGCCAGGATATGGCTTATGCTATGGCTCCTCAGCCTTACGCGGTGATGAATGCCCAGCCCTACGCTCGGCCACAACAACAGTTTAACCAAAACCGAGCTCCACTTCCTAGAAATAACCTTCCTAACCAAGCTCCATATAATCCTCGACCCCTGCAAAATGACTTCCCATACAATGCCTGTGCCCGGGAGCCACCTAGAAGAAACAACTGCACGCCTATTGGTGAGTCATACTCTAGCCTTTTCCCTAAACTGGTCCAAATGGGTTTGTTGCAACCCGTGCCCCAAACCAGGCAAAACCTAGAGTCACCCTCCTACCGATACGGTGCTCGATGTGCTTACCACTCAGGAGCGGAAGGGCATGACACTGAAGACTGTTGGACTCTTAAAAGGGTAGTCGAGAATTTAATAGAGCAAAAGCGGATAGTGCTGAAAGATAGAGAGATCCCTAATATGACCAATAACCCATTGCCAGCTCACAACAACGGGCCAGTTATTGGGATGATTTGCAAAGATAAAGAGTTTGACCCAGCCCTAAAAGCCATCATTGTCATTGCTGATGTTGAAAAGAAACCAAAGGCGGCTGCAAAGCAAGACAAAGGGGAAAATAAAAGTAAATCCACCCCTCAAAGTGCATAAAAGACAGTGGAAACCAAAACACGGGTAGTACCC